CTAGAGTCAGATTTCAAAAGAAACCGCCTGTCTGACATTTTACAGCAACCTACATTGGCGCGCACAACGTTTTAGCCACAAATCCGTTGTTTTCTCAACAGAAACAAAAGGAATTTCAGTTAAAATTCTTACCTGATGAATATTCAAAAGTGTTTATCTCTTTTTGACGACTTTCAGTGCTCTTAATAGCGAAATAAAAAGCCTTTTGTTTTGTCACCGCACGCTGCGTTTGAAAATGCCGGCTGTCAAAGTCAGAATTGAAAACACCTCAAATATTTTAAAATTTTCTCACCTTTTTCATCCTTTGTTTATATTTTAATTAGTAATTTTTGTACTTCGTGTTTTTCCAAACATATTTGAGCTATTTAAAAACTTCAAAGAGGTACAAACACTGTATTTTTGGGTTACAGAGTTTTTGGACTTGAACAACAAGTTCTGAAGTTCAAGTTCTCCATTGTAAACTAGATGTCCTGAGTGTGCCTGAGCTATGCCCAAGCAAATTTTTATAGCGTTTCATTATTTTGTAATTTATACCCTACAAGATGAAAACTAATTTGAAAATAAATGTGTACCAATCCAGGAATCAAAAAATATTTCTCCATTTATGTTGGGTTATTGAATTATTGCCCTTCAGATGTTGGGTGTCATGAAGAAGCAAAATGTCAGAGACTTAAATTTACACAAACCAAGAATTCTCACCCAAAAATCTAATGATATATTTAAGTGTGGGAGCTCATTTAAAATAGAATTGATTAATCATTTATCATTTTAACCCACTGCAAAATTTCAAGGTTTTTTATAACATTGATCTTGAGATATGGGTATTTTTGTAAAAGCAGTTGACAGAAGTTGACAGTAACTAAAATTCGCCATTTTCCTTGCAACTTGGGGAGTGCCAATGTTGCAACAGTCTGCAACTTAATGAGTTAAGTTGCGTCTTATGTAAGTCACATCTTATTTTGTCCCGTATAAATGGCCCTAATGAGTATTTGCAGTAGAAATACAAAAATACCACCAAAAATTCTGCTTGATTGATACTATATATTCCGAAATATTGAAATAATTTTATTGTCTCTTGCTCAATTTCAAGCGAATTTCTTACTTTGAAATCATCAATGCGGTGAAATTTATGCAAATGACGCATTATCAATTTTGCTGTTGCATTTTGAATGTTCCACCTGATTCAAATGCTTGTATCTTTGCTTCTTTTCAAAAAAATTGCCATCTTTCATTCTATAGCTCGCAGCAGTCTTGGGAAATTGCAAAATAATCTATGCCTATTATCATCGTGGTCGGAAAGTGTTCGGCCAACTTCGGACACCAAATTCTTGGTAAAGCATTATAGTTTCCTGGTAAAAGACTGCAGGAATCACTTCCGGAGTGTTTGTTTACCCTAGATATGGATTTTGATTGGCTTAGGCAGAAGAGCAAACCTTTTAGAGCAATTTTCCTGATTATCGTGCACGAGAACACACAAGCGTTGTAATGTATTGTGTTGTAATTTTGTTTGAATCGCATTCTGAAGACCTTTTTGGCTTTATTTTGCAAACTGATAGTGCTAGTAATGATGGAATGTCTTTGTATGAAGACAAGTATCTGTCTGGAGTTTCAAGGCACAGTATTTTTATCATTTCCAGACAATTTCTATTTCAATGTTTTGCCATTGCCATGGCATTGTAAATTTATTTGTATTTAGTTTAGCTTCACTAGTACGACCAAGTATGTCCTCATATCGCTTTTTTGTGTTGAAATAATCCTTTCATACTGAAATTGACAAATATAAATGGTATTTATTTATATTGTTGATGAAAATTTATGGTGTTTTAGGCATAAAAATGTCTGATACCTAGGCGAAGTAAAATGAGCCTTGAGCACATGTTTGGTTGTTTGTTACATACATAATAACCAAGTATTCATACTTATATCTTACTAGTTTGGCTCTTATTATAATTTTAAGTGGCACCATGTAAATTATGTCTATAAAAAAGTTTTTATTCGCACTGATGAATATATTGGTCTTGTTCTTATCTGCTGTTCCTGTTTTATAGCCTCAAGGAAGTAGCAGTTCTGATGAGTCATGAGAACCCCACTCCCCAACCCAGAGGGAAAGTAGGGGGATGAGTAGAGGTAGAGGGAAGCCTAGCCATTAGGACCCAAGGTTTCGAAAGTTCCCTGTCTAGCACCCCCACTAGGTCCCATAGTACATAACGCATATGACGATCCTGACACTAGGGATATTCTCCCAGATTTTGCCCCTCACTGACATGTCCGGGATCCATTTCGATCAAGCTATCACCTGAAGTATGAACTGTGAGCTTGAGTTCATTCGGCTCTTTTTTACTAAGGGAATGCTTCAGGAGGTAGTTTCCTGGCCATACCAATACATTGCCCACATACAAATAACTCAAGTTATCCCCATATACTAATAAAGAAGGGTCTTGCAGTCCACCAACCTTGAGAGGTTGATTGCCTTTTAGTATATGCAGGTTTGGTAAAGGTCGACAGTGAGATTGAAAATTATTGGAGTGTAAAAACCTTATATCATGGTCTGTGGGCAATAGAAATAATTTCTCAGGTTAGGTACAAAGCGCTTATGGCGTAAACAGGAATAAACATCATCAACAACTGTACCAGCTGTCACAGAATATTGTTGTTGACAAACACACTGTCAAATCAAAAATAGGTTGGGGATTAGGCAGTTCATGAAAAGCCTACTATGTGGGGGATAAATCTGTGGGTTGCTGCAGACAGTCCTAATGGTTATATTTCGACTTTGAAATTTATACAGGAAGAAGTCCAGATATTCATCGCAACAGATTTGGGTATGACGTGGCGATCTGATATAAGTTTGGTTACAGTCTTTTGTGGTACAATATAAAGGAAATATTTTCACCACATAATCCAATTATGTGCTTTGGCAAACATTACTGATTTGGCAAACATTACTGCCTTGGAAAACATTACTTTTCTATGACTTCTAATGATGATGTCAGGCCAACAACACTTTGTCATGTTATATGCAAATATTTTCATGTTCTAGATTGTGAAAACAATCAATTTCTAAACAAATGAGTAGTGATTATTTCAAATTTGAATAACATGACCAAATTTTCAGGCTGGTTATGCCACTAATAACTAAAGTCAATGGTGTAATGATTATATAAGAATGTATGTATAGTAACTGTAGAAGTAAAGATATTTGGGTAATCATGATTTGAGTGTTCTTTTGTGGGTATGTCAGACTTATTTTGGTGTCATACTATCCTTGGAGAGTAAGAAATATTGGAAATTTGTATTGATAATATGTTCCGGCAATAAAGGTATTTGTTTCATGTGAGCACAAAATGTAAATTTTACTCCACTACATAGTTTATATAAAAATTCAATAAAATACAGGCTACATGCATGAAACTTCGGGTACTTGTAGATCATAACCGTGTCTTTCAGTTATATTCATAAAATATTTTGACATATTTGAAATTTGAACCACTAAATACATTTATGCATAATTGCAACATTTTTTATATCATAATTTATGCAAATGTATGTGAGTAAATCGTTAACCAAGCTCTGGATGAACTTGGCATCGTTCCTCCTCTTTCAAACGATGTAATTTCTGCTTCCACAGAATGTATAGTTTGGAAGATATATGAAACAACACCACTCGAAATTGCTACTTTTCGACCGGATGGGAATGAGTTAAGTATGCCAGCAAATACGTTGGTCTTCACAATAAAATTGAGCAGGAAATCTTTTGAAGTCCCCAATTACGTCAGTTACGTCAGTAACTGTCAAGTCAAACCAATGACAAATTCTACTTTTTGACTACTATATTTAAATAACTTACCTGCCCATGCTTCTTCATTAATGGAAAATAGTCAAAATCACCATCTGTTGTGCACTGCTCTTCAGCTCTCCTTAGCCATTTTGTACAAGCCCACGACTCCATGTCTCAACATTCCATACTGGAACAGACAATCCCTGAAGTGCTGTCATCACCCTTGCAACTGGCTCAAATATATCCACCATTAGTAAAAGATCGCTAACAAAATCTTAATGTAGGCCAAACTTTATATTAGTAGGTATATAAGTGGCACATAGAGATGTGACAAACAATATGTAAAAACATTACTATGTTCGGGCTTCCTACCTGACCCTTGATTTTATACTTAATTGGATTATTGCCATCTTGCATCAAATTTGAAGCTTCTTCTACAGCTGAAACAAACAATTTGTATGACTTTGCCAGTCTTGTCCATTGAACATATGCTGAACTAGCGAAACAAGTTTGCGAGTATGTTGCTGCAACAGTTGTGTGAACACCCTGCAGCTGTAGACTTTAGAGTGCTTCTACCTGGAAACGAAATGTAAATCAGATCATTACATGATTTGATCAATTATAACTGCTTCTGTTAATGTAAATTATTTTTTAAGCAATTGCTAATAACACGAACCTTTTCCTCTGTTAAGTATGCCAGCAAATACGTTGGTCTTCTCAATAAAATCGAGCAGGAAATCTTTTGAAGTCCCCAATTTTCCATCTTTTATGTCCGTACCTGCCAAGTCAAACCAATGTGATGGATCCCAGACAACATTTCCAACATATGTGGCTTTCTCTGGCTTGCCGTGTGACATTATGTCTTGGAATTTATGGCCTTGATAAACTCTGTCCGCAGAAACACCTAGGAAAATAATTAGATATTCTAGTATTATCTATGATAATTCTAGGAACTTCGCTTCGGACATTGTAAACAGTGTAATATGTTAATACGCAGTCTACTCACCAACCATGAAATGTACGTTGCACCTCTTTTCCAAATTTCTTTTCTACAAGATCCAGCGCTTGCACAGCAGTTATAGATGCTGCTGTTAGTTTTGATGGCACTTGGGCAAAACATGGCTTCACATCTCTCACTCGAATTGTATTTGTGATATCTGTGGATACTGGGGAAGTACTTGACTATCACATAGTTTCCAAATCGTGCCAGAAATGTAGCTGGATGGTTTCAGATGGTGACAGCAAGGCTTTCAGTGCTGTGGAGGACACTTATGATGGAATTAAAGTAGAAAAAATGGATTGTGTTGGCCATGTCCAGACACTTATGGGGAAGCACTTAATGAACTTGAAAGCAACCACAAAAGGAAAACTTGAAGATGGAAAGACCATTGGAGGACACGGTCGACTAACTGAAGAGAAGATAAAACAAATTCAACGATATTATGGATTAGGTGCTGGTGCTAATCCAACTGAAAAGGATGTTGCTGTATATACAATGAAGAAAAACATCATTGCAATTTCACATCACTGTGTAAAATCCGAAGACAGAGAAAAGCAACAATAGTTTCTGTTCTGTTGGATCAAATTCCTGGTGCAAATGGCAGCAAGACTAAGCCTTAGGAACATCCATTATAAGGGTGATGATTGCTTGCCTCATGTGTTTCTGGTGTTACTGAAGCCAATATTTATCACTCTAAGTGATACTAAGCTGCTGGAAAGGTGTGTTCAAGGTACAAACCAAAATAATAATGAAAGTATCAATGCAGTAGTATGGGTGCAATGTCCTGAGTGCAAGCATCATGGAGCAAAGGCTGTCTGATGTGCTGCTGCATCAGTAGTTTGCCACGTTCACAGTGGTGCCAGAAGCAGAGAGAGAGAGTAATGAAGAGATTGGCAATACCAGCTGGTGAATTTACAAAGAAATTGTCACTCTCAAATTGTCACTCTCAAAGGACAGAAAACGTATCAGACAAGCTGACAACTGAGAAACATAAAAAACGTCGCCAGGCTGAACAACTGCAAAAAAACTGTTGTGAAGAAGCTCTATGTGAAGCAGAAGGAACAACTTATGAAGCAGGAGGTTTCTAATTAAGGCCAGTATTCTAAGATGAAAAAAACTGAACAAATAACCTCACAAACTCCTGCAAACGACTTGTATTGTTGTTTCTAAATTTTAACACTCATTTTCTCAAATTGTGCAATTTTGGCAGTTGAGAAAAGATATCTCTTCTTGTATTTGACCAATTAAGCTAAAATTTTCAGCATTTGTTCTTCTAGGTGTGCTGTCTTAAATCAGCATAGAGAATTTGTATATCTTATTTGTAGGTCATTCTTATTGACAAAAACGTCCCTGGTAAAACCTATCGCAAGTTTGCACCACTGCCGCAATATTTATCATATGCTATTTAAGACTGTGATACCTACAATTCTTAAAAATATATTCACATTCAAAATCCTGGTCATTTACAACCAGATATCTTTTCTCATTCATGACCCTTTTTAGCACTGCATGAGGTGTGGTTTCCTGGCTGGTATCAGGTTACAAATAGTTCTTGTGTAAAATGGTCCATTTTATTGTAATCTATACATTACAAGCTTTCAGATAATATACAGTTTGTCATAACTAAATTTAATAACTTCAATTTTATAGCTGATTAAACACAGGCCATGTTTTCATATGTACCCTCCCATTATTAATGTAAAATGAAACACTTCGTAAAATGTTTTGAAATGTTCATTCAACTAAACTACATTTTGCCGATAAACTGTTTTCACTTTAAGGTAGCGACATCCCAAATAATATGATATTTTTCAAAATGTTAAAATTTTTCAAAAAAGATGTATTATTACTTCTTACAACATAATAAAACTAAGATCAGTGTTAAAATATATTTTTCACACATAAATTACGGTTATTTTGCTCATGAAGAGACCTTATCAGGTTGTTTATCCTCCTTAGCAACGGATTCAGACTTTAGTTACCAGTGTTTAGTTCAGTGGGATGAAAAGAATCCTTGCCAAAATGATTTTGTAGCATCTGTAGCATTGTTGAAAACCAGCCAATCACAGACCTTCTGTTGCATAGCAACAAGGCAGCCTTTCTAAATCAGAGTATAGTTGTTGAATTTATTGCCTGATTTCATCCATTAAAATCTCTCTTAATTTTTGGCCATCTGCCTTTGAATTTGCATGAAAAGATAAGAGAAACATTTTTTATTGTGACAAATGTAATAATGGGTAACAAGAAACTGTCTGGGAGGAAGAAAAAACGAAAGTTTAGTGGCATAGTAGCGAAGCAAAAAATTCAAGATGGCGGCAAGGACTTGGTAGACAGCCAGTCAAGTAGCTCTGATTTGAACACTTCTGCATCGAAACGGAACGTTTCCGATGTAGTCCCAGATGTTGAAAAGCATTCAGAATGCCTCAGAGAAGGTTATATTTTAATGGATGTGTCAATTCTCTGCGAATATTTGTCCAGAACTGCCGTTTGTAACAAATGTGAAACCCCTGTACAGTGTGGCATAAATTTGGAGGACAGTCAAGGATTTGCCCACAATTTTGTTTCCTACTGCAAGAATTGTGACTCTAAGACTATCCTTTTTAACTCCTCCAAGAAAACTTAAAGAACTGAGATTGTTAAAGGGAAGAAAACTCCTTTTGAAGTCAATAGTAGAATGGTATCCTTTGTACGTGGAATAGGTAAGGGTCACACTGCACTAGAAATCTTTTCAAAACATTTGAACTCACCACCTCCAATGACTGCTGCCAACTACGGCAAGCTGTTCAAGTGGCAACATGCTGCTTCTAAGGCTGTTGCTACTGAATCAATGAAGGCTACTGAATCAATGAAGGCTGCTGCCCAAGATGTGTTGAAGGAGGGAAGGGACTGTGCAGTCTCATTTGATGGTACACATCCTCGTCCCCAGGCCCAAGCTCGGGCGGCCCTCACAGTGGCCCTGGTTCAGGCTGTTGATCTGCGTCGGAAATCCGACGCAGAGGCTTGGTCACACAGCATATGTATTTCTCCCTAAAAACATGGCGACCGCAATGAATGCAACTGTACGAGGAAGGCAGAAACAATATATTTTGCACTTGCGAAAACAAATAATACTCAATTAAGTTAAAGGAAAAGCAGAAAGAAGATATTCGTAAAATAGTAAATGCAATGGATGTTAAATCGTCGATATATTCCAACTTTTACCGTCCATGTTCGACTACATTAATTCGAGAAAAAGAAATATTTCTGCTGTGTTGCCAGTCATGCCAGAAACAATTGTAATCGTGATTTTCCTGTTAAATGCACTGGTGGGCGACCAAATATAGACAAGCTAAAAACTCACATGGGTGTTAAGGCAGTTGTTTTACGCCATGATCAAGAAATGAAAGGTGTGTATTAACTATTAAAAATACTTCATTTTGTTATTTTTGTATTTAATACAGTACATAATATGTATAGACGGTAAATAGACCCGTTGCCTGAAAGCCAACTGGTTGGAACGTTTATTGAAAATATAATTAGCATCAAGCAATTACTATTAAGTGTACTTGCCATGTTGGGGTCTTGGGGAAATCAGGATTTTTCTGTTATCAGCAGCTATCAAAATGGTATGCATTATTAAATAAATTTATTTGTCTTTTTATAGCTTATGTATCAAAGTATGGATGTAAGGCCTCAGAGGTTTGCCAACACATGAGAACAAAAACAACACTGTAAAGTGTTGCAAAGTGCAGAAAGGCAAACAAGAACAATAGTCAAAAACAGAAACACCAGGCGTACACAGGATTTTTTCACCAGAGGGGCAGTAAGGCCTATATGCCGAAAAAGTCCCAAATATCCAAAGAATAATTAACAATGACATTCTAAAAATCGTAATTTGTTTTCTCTGGGGGGAGTGGCCCCCGCCCCCGGTTGTGTACGTCCCTGAGTGCGCCCTACTTATTTTTTTACTTGTCTAACACCAGACGATTTAACTCGTCAATGGGGATAGCATGTGAAGCTTTGCAACTTAATGGGTTAACCAAAAAATCTGCCATTGTCTGCAGTTAACCCATTGAGCTGCAATGTGCCCTAGTGTGCACTTTTTATTTTTTACTTGTCTAAGGGAGCGGTCATTATTTCTGGTGGGGGTGGCACCAAACAGAAAAGCGTTGGGTGAACAAAATTTTGAGTGAGTAAAAGGTTGAGTAAATGAAAAAGAAAACTCATGGGTTGGGTGATAAAAATTTATTGTCATTTCCAAAGCAAATATTGGAGACTGAGAAGCAACAGTCATCAATGTGGCAATATGTCAAATATGGCAAGATGTCAACAGTCATATGTCAATACAATATGTGAATCAATCAGAGACACTATATCTTGATAATTTCCCCATTTGTTGGGAGGCAAATGGTGTCTCCAAAGAAAGTACATGTGCAGACAACATGAAACTTTAGACTGCAGAAAATATCACAAGCTGTTATCAAACTCATGTCACAGAAGTGGTAAAGGACATGTGTGAAACTGAATTGTAACCATTTGTAACATTTTTGGCAAGGGGTGGGTATTTATTTTTTAATTGATATTTGAGGTTGAGTAATCATTTTTTTTTTTTACTTTTTAATGGTTGGGTCAGCAAAATTTTTGCCACAAAAAACATTTCTCTTCGGTGCCACCCCCCTCCCCTTGACTTGTTATTAAACCATAAGTGAAAACTATAATTGATCTGTAATGTTTAGTATAACCAATTTCTCGTATAGATATTTATATTAATTTGTAATATTAGTATTTATTAATATTTATATATATATATATTTTTTTTGCATTAAAAAATTAAGAGTGATGAACAACATTGTGTGTCATTTACTATTCCTATAGGAAATTAGGATAAATTTCCTATAGAAATTCCTGTAAGATGATATGTCATACTGCAAAACCAGAACAGTCAAAGTGATGTACTTTCCAGAAGGGTGTATTTATTAATAAAATGTTTCAGTGGCAGTGTTAAATTAAACAAACTTTAGCAACAGGTAGCTAAAATGCTTCTTATGGTGAAATAAGCTTAGACTTGACACATAACTGGTTAAATTACTTAAATATAATCATGAATTGTTACTGATTGTATTCTAGTTTGGATAAATTTATTCAATAGTTTGGATAATTTAATTCCATCTACAAAATCCCTTCAACATTTTGTGTGTGAAAAGCCAGCTTTTCACCTTGGGTATTAAACAATCGAGCTTGGGGTTCTCCAACAACACTGGTTCCATTGTGAACTGTGCATTGTGATTGTGCAAACAGAACAAAATGCTTCCATTAACTTTGTGTATCAAGTACTTGATATAAAATACTAAATTTTCGTAGATTACATTCTAAATTAGACTCTTCAAATTGTCAAATACAATGTATAAAATTGCGTTGATGCAAACAGATAGGTGGAGGGCGACAATTTACACAATAATCTTGCAACATATGCGTACACAATATATATTAATTTCCATAGTCGTGAATGTGACTGATATCCGAGTCTTGAACTTCATCATTCAATTCGTTTCAAATGTATTTAATCCTTCAAATATCCATGTAGTTGGTTTCCAGCAGTCTTGAATTTGTCCATATCATAGTTTAAGCAAAAATTTACATGTAAATATCTGATTTCTACCATAATTTAATACCAGTTTATAATAATTGCCACTCTTCGCGCCAGCCATTGTTTATTGTTAACCTGCATTTCCTTCCCACCTGCAACATTCCTTTAGAGCAAAAGAGCCAATCACAATCAACTGCTCAACAGCCTGAACCAGGGCCACTGTGAGGGCCGCCCGAGATTGGGCCTGGGGACGAGGATGGATGGTACATGGCAACGGCGAGGCCATGCAAGTCATCATGGAGTTATATCAGCCATCTCTGTTGATACTGGTAAGTGTGTTGATGTGGAAGTCCTCTCCAATATTTGCAAAGGATGCCAGCATTGGGAAAATGCTGATAAGAATTCTGATAAGTATTTGCGATGGAAGGCAGATCACAAGTGTTCCAGCAATCATGTTGGCTCTGCTGGCGCAATGGAGTCGGTGGGTGCATTGCGCATATTTACCAGGTCTGAAACAACACGAGACCTCCGATATACCAAGTATCTTGGTGATGGTGACTCATCTTCCTTCAAGACTGTGTCAGAAAGCAAGCCATATGAAGATGTTGACATTGAAAAACTTGAGTGTGTTGGACATATCCAGAAACGGGTTTGGCACTCGTCTTCGAAATCTTCGTAAGGATTTTAAGGGAAAGAAACTGTCGGACAATAAAGGTATTTCAGGAGCAGGGAGACTGACAATCCAAAGGATAGACACATTACAGAATTTTTATGGTATGGCAATCAGACAAAACAAGGGAGAATTGGTACCTATGCAGAGAGCAGTACTTGCCAGTCTTTACCATGTAGCCAGCACCGTTTCAAATCCACACAACATGGCATGTGCCCAACTAATTTGTGGTGTAAATACAATAATGATCCAGAAAATTACAAGCACAAGCATGGATTAGCAGATGCCATTGTTGAGTTGCTTGAGCCCATCTATGATGAACTCAGTGATCCATCCCTCCTTGTAAAATGCCTCCACGGAAAGACCCAAAATAACAATGAATGTTTGAACAAGCTAATCTGGGATCGCTGCGGTAAGGAAGTGTTTGTTGGCAACCAAACCATTGAAGATGCTACATATTGTGCTGTGGCTCAATTTAATGATGGGAATGTCAGTATTATGAAACATTTTGACAAACTTGGCATTACTCCAGGCAGGTTTACTTCAAGTGGTGTTGCTGTGGCCAATGTGAAGCGGATCTACTGGTCTGATAAGAAATCTTCGGATGGGGCAAAGAAATGAAGGAAGCATCTGCGGTCAGTCAAGAAGGGATTTCAGGACCAAAATGAGCAAAAAGAGGGAAATGTGTACGAGAGTGGAGCTCATTAGTTCAGTTAGAGTTTTGTATTGGTGAGTTTTAAGGCAAACACACTGACTGGAAATGCTTTATTTTAAGTTCGGCTATTGTTTTTAGGTATTTTCTCAGAATGTATTTTTTATCAAAACCGCCATCTTCAAAACACTATTTCTCCCTCCCTTTTCAATATATTTCAATGAAATTTTCACCACAGGTTCTTTGCATGAATATCTAGGGAATGGTGGCAAGAATTTGATATCTAATAAAAACTTGTTTAATTATTAACATTGTTAATGTTGCGGACATTACAAAAAAATACAAAAACAGATGCTGGGAAATAGCTGAGCAATAAACTTTAAAAGTCGTACCATCAGAATTTGCCTAAGCATGCCAGTAACCAACTCTGAAATTTTCAGAACCCTACCTTAAATAATGCCCGAGTATTCTTGTTTGACGTATATCCTAGTTTTGACATATTGGCGGCCATTAAATAGCATAATTAGCATAATTTATGCAAAAAAAAATTTGAAACTGCACTTTGGCATATGTTCTTTTAAACGGTATATATGGTTAGTTGTTAAAATTGCCTGGTTTAAAAATAAATTAAGAAGGATATTGCTACCATAAAACATAATAAGTTCAGTGGTGCAGCCAGCCCAACAATTTAGTCCCGCTATGCAAATTCAAAATTATTATCATTATTTCTTTCTTTTAGAAATTGATTGTTTTCACAGTCAATGAACACGATAATATTTGCATAGTGTGACTAAATCGTCAGACTGGATATGCTACTGAATAAGTTTAATATAAATAAAACAAATTGTTAGGTAATTTCAGTTCAATCTTCAAATCAATTTGTTCACCTTACATTGGGATAAAGTGAGTTAATAATGCATGTCGTCAATATTGTTTCGTGCACCAAAATTACATAGTACAGAATTAAATTTTTAAAAGCTGACAGTTCCCATTTCATTCAATGAAACAGTGAAAGCTAGACAATAAAAAAGTAAGTAAACAATAAGGAATGGAGGAAAAGATGCTTCAGAGGTAGTCACCATTATCACAGTCACAGACTATCAACTATGATTAAATGACGACATTATTTCAAATAGTACCTTGCCCATCATTCTGTCGTTTAATACAGATTACATACACTAAGAATCACTGAAACATATTTTTCTTTTCTATCAATTTAGAAAAAACTGCAAAAACATGAGTCATGGAAGGACTGTTGAGTCATGAAAATCCCAACTTCCAGTGGGATCCTTGAGAATAATATTGCAAATGTATACATATATACAAGGAAAATTCTAAATTTACATTAATGGATTTTTGAATGTAAAACTGAACTATTTAGCTTTCCCATATGGTAAATTAGTAAAAACCACAAAGGAAAATACCGGTAATGGTAAACATTAAACATCATGGTTTTTTGCCCAATTTACCATACTAGGCAATCTCTAATAACCAATAATTTTGTAGTTTTTACATTGTAACATTTTTTATTATCAATGTAAAAACTGAACCACTATTAACTTTCTTTTAAATATTCAATGTCATAGGCTGGCAACAGTAATAGTCAAAGTGATGTAAGATTTAATGGTGCTACAACTGATACCAAACCTGTTGTTATCGACTTGCCTAGTAGTCAATCTCCAAAGAAAAAGGCCTCGAGAAAAAGGTAATTTACATAACTGGGAGTCAACCCTTGCTAATTAGTAACTATTTTCGGTAGGATGAATGGATTGTTGTGTCGGTGACATAGAGAGAGAGAACAGACCTGTTGTGCCTAAAAGTGACCAGCATCTATCCGGGAGGGGTGGAGATGCAATTTGATTGGTTGTCCAGCTCTGTATATCCTTGCATTATCCACTGGTAAATAATTGTTAATTATTACATACCAATAGTAACAGTGTATGTCAGACGAGAGCATATAATATGAAAGTGACAAAATTCAACTGCTTCCTGACAACAGCTCTTAGCAGTTTATTCAATGATGAATACTATAATTGTCAAGTTATAAAGCAAAAATTATTGAAATTATTGGTCCACAAAACATGCCGTTTCTTAATGTCCCAGTCAATTAATGTACAGAACATATATAAGTAGTATATTTTGCCCATTACAGTAGTGCATGAAAAACATGCTTTGAAACTGGATATTTTAGTTGAATTTAACTGAATGAAACCAGACATAAAAATTCTAATGATTTGATTTTTCAGAATTTCAAAGGTAAAGAGAGAGAGTTTGTCCAGAAGAAAGTTCTTCCAAAGAAAGTGATGGAACAACCAGAAAGAAACAACGAAAGATGTCAATTTGTACATGGGTCAATGTCAAAACGCAGTCGGTTCACTAACTCCCAGAGGGAATAGATGGACCACATATTAAATTAAACCATTTTCTACAGGTGAAACAAAATCTGTAAGACATGGAAGAAAGACTGTCCAACAAGTTGGAAAGGTCACATCTGTGTTCGATTTTTTTTCAGACTGTAAAGGCTCTTATCATTGTACAGCACATGACTGCCCTTTTAAGATTTAGTACAGTATAAAAAAGTGTGATAAAAAGATCACATGTAAAGGATGTGGCAGAGAAGAATTTGTTCATTGCAGCACCCACCGGTACTTGAGCTATGTGAAAATCAAGGTAACGATGTATCACATCGGGCAACACACATGTCCCATTACCTCTATATAACCGAAAAGAAAGATGCCAAGAGTATTGAGCAATTGGTTCATAACAATCCCAACATTAAACCTTCTGAAGTTCAGTCTGCCATTATTCTAACCACAGTTCAGCAGCAGATGGACTGGGCTACTGTTGAAAAAGAAGCTGCTTCAACAATTGATAAGAAACAGATAAGTACAGTATCATTAAACAAAGGGTGAAGGGGCAATATTCAACCATTCAGGCATAATTTTAAGGCAGTTGTGGCTTTCAAAGAGTATTGCAACAAGAACGATACATTATATGTGTATAAAATTAACAGTAGGAGAGGCAATCCAGACAAGCCCTCCTTTGTGTTCAAGACGAGCATTTTAGAGACATTACCTTCATGGCGGTAAGTATGGATGCTGGTGGAGATATTTCTTCGATGGCAAGCACAATCATTGTCCATCCAGATTATGTTATGTTAACCGCAAGTGTTTATCATCCCTTGCTTTGTAGGCAGATACCTCTTGCAATCATGGAAGTTGAGAAAGAAAACACCACAAACATTGATGTAGCTAAAAAGCCATTGAAATTCAATCCAATAGGTAGGTGTACTGATATGGCTAGAACAAACCTGTCAGGAATTTATAAGGTTGTTGGTGATTCTGTTCAAATCAAATCTTGTGAATTCCATTTCAAGGATCACAGAAACAACAAGGTTAAAAAATGGGACCCAGATAGTGCAGGTGAATTAAAAATCCTGTGTAATGATCTACCGAACAACACAACAGAAAATGCATACATAGGAACAAATTGATTTTCTGCCACGTCAAAATGTCTTGTACAATTTTAGGTGGATGCTTCAGGGTTTCTAGAGTCAGGGATCTTTGCATAATCGACAGTTTGCAAACCTTTGCACAACACAAGATGCATATAAATCATTACAGCACAAGGCAGAAACTTATTTAAAAACCTGGTGTCATAGTGGCATGCAAGGCAATTGCTTTATATTCCATGTGTTTGCACCTAGGGATGCACAGAGGTGAGTCAAGCAGAGGTTATCTTAAATGCCTTGATTCTATTCTTTAAGATCACACATGGTTTACTGAAAACAAGCGCCTCTCCAGTTATTCAGAGTTCTCACAGAACCACTCGCTCAAATTCAAACAACATGGTCAAGTATGTCATCCCCAGATGTAAAACAACCAGCTACCAGAAATCCTTCCTCGTTAGAAATTCCAGAATATGGAACACACTAATAGATACAATAGACCTTCATACAAACAGTCGAGCTGTATTTAAACCATGTTTACTTAATTATTATTTTACCTATGTTGACATTACTTATAATCCTGAAAATCTGCAAACATTTAGATCTTTATGCTTGAATTGCAACTGTGTTCGTAGTTTAGCGTCTCCAATACTTGCTGCTGTTGAAAATTTCACTGCTCCTGCTATGCTTATATAGTTGTTAGCATGCATTGATGTGTTCAATTTCTTCTCAGCGAGTGCATGTTATTATCATAGCAGGTTGAGTTGCCGTAGCTAGCTAAATACTTAGTTGTATAAATGCACAAAGTTACTTGTTTTCCTATTTGATGTTAACATATTGTCCTTGGGTTCGCAGTAATTGGCTAATCGCTGTTGCAAATACCCTGCCATGTAGTCTATTTGGCTAATTTATTAAATTATTTCTTTGTAATAAGACTATCTGGCAAAGTTAATAAATTAGCACTAAGCACAATAAGAAATGTTGTTCTTGCTCTAAACCTATCCAAACAATTCAAAAATTTTTAGAATGTAATAATTTGTTTCATGCTCTGCCAGCATCCACAAAGTCACTCAACTTAAACACTATCAAATGATAATCTTGAACTTGGTGAGAATTACTTTGAACCTAAACAACTTTTGCTGCCACATTATGAAGCTAAATCTACCCCCAAGTCTTTGTCTAAGCTCTTCACAACTCATGAAACAAAACGAGACAGCAAAGCAGTTGCTACTAAAAGAAAACAACTGAGTTTAGTTGAATTGCTCCCAAAGAAAACAATTAACTCTTTATCGTCCGGCGATAAATTTCATAGTTTTCATTCAATTGCTGCCGATGTAAATATCTCAAAGAGTATTTACCCCCCCTTTAAAACGGAAACCACCATTGAAATCGTCATAAAATAACCTTTCGAACGGGGGGTCAAATGCCATTATAACATTACACAAACCAAAACAATCGTGTATTTTACTCACTGCTTTGCCAAATATTCTGTATTTCATATCCAGAAAATCTTGAATATCTCTTGAACTCCTCGGAATTCCCCACAAGTCAATCTGAGTGAAATACTCCTTATATTCTAGCACTTTCGTGTGGAAAATTTTGTTTGAATACGGCTGTAGAAATATATTTATTTTTATTTTTTCAAAATATCGGGTTTTTACCGGTTTTTACTCGCACGCCACACACTAAAATTGGCCAATAAGGAGAACCCGTAGCCCGATGCACGTGCAAATCACGCTGCAGGTGTAATTTGACCTTTAGAATCGATTTCCGATGTTTCCCGAGCAATAGGATTTAAACAACGCAATGTTTTGGCAGATCTAAAGTGTATTTCTGGTCGAACCGCCGTCGAAGCTCTTGCGTAAAATTTAGATATTTTGAAATTCCGAAATAAAAGATGCAAATCTGTTGATACATAACACTCTAAATAGTGTTTTGGATTGTGATTCGAACAAGACTATTATGAAAAAGATATCTTGAAAGGGGCCGAAGTTATGTTCGGCGAAAGGTATGCCTTTGTGATACATTTTATTACATTCTTACATTTTTCGGGAATATTGTGTAATCTAGTGAAATATGACACCGCTTGCCCTCTTTAGGTCGTAAATCGCTATAATGTTGACATTTTATTATATCTATCGATAGGAATTTTTCCACTGAATCGAATGGTGTTATTTTCATCTATATAGTATGCACTGAACCGAAAATATGAACCTGCAAAATACCAGGTCGGTTTCGACCTGGTTATTTCAGCACCAAACGAAAAAGAGTTAAGAAGTCCCACCAACAGGTAGCCTCATCAGTGAATATGTTACCTTCCACAAGCTCAGCCAGTGAAAGTAAAGCTGTGAAAACACCTGCTGCGATCCCACCAGACATAACAATACAAGATAGGTGCATCATCATCCAACATGGCAGGTGGTTATGTCCATACTAGCTCTGATAATTGCTTAAATAACGGCTTTTCCAAATGGAATTTGGATGAAATTTTTTAATACAGAGTTAGAAACTGCTTTACCTATGATACGAAGCGTATTAGATGGATGGACAATTACGAACTGTTGAAAATGATTACTAAATGTGCCATCAAACAACCAGGTATATGGTTGTCACCTGGCGGCAAGAACAAGAAGTTTACCGGTTCTATTAAGTTTGCATACACTTGGAGGAGGGGTGTGTATTTATGTTAAGAACAACATCCCCTGCAAATACTTGGAAATCTGTGATCAAGATAACATCGAATCTATCTGGGTGTCAATGCGTCCTCATAAACTACCAAGACATATTACATCAATTATTTTAGCTGTTGTATACCATTCCACCAAAATTCCACAAGCCGAGAACAATATGCTAAAAGAGCGAAATATGAAATTAGGTCTAACTAACCCAATGCTTTAATCATAATAACTGGGGATTTTAATAACAAATCAACAGGCCTTAAAGGTGAAAGATATAACCCAGGGAAATCAATTAACCAAATTAGTAAAATTTAAAACTAGAGATTCCGGAATACTTGACTGGTTTTTGATGAATAGACCAAAATTATTCTCATCACAATTACCAAAAATTGGATCATCCGATCACCAAGCAATATTATCTAAATCAGCTGATATCAGTGAATATAAAGGTAAAGTTAAGAAGATAAAGACAAGGGATATGAGGGACAGTGCTTGGCGAGTATTTGGGAGATGGATGGTCCAGAAGGATTGGAGTTATGTTTCAGATATGGGCTCATGCCAAGACAAATACAATAAGTTAATGCAGGAAATAAATTGGGCTTTGAATGTGTTTCTCCCTGAAAGAATTATTAAAAAACACCCCAATGATCGCCCATGGGCAACAAGCAAGCTCAAAAAATGAATTTGTAAAAGACAGAACACGATATGAAAAGAGCTCACTATATAAATTCTGGAGGAATAAAATACAATTGGAAATCAAGACTATGAAGAATTCCTTTTATAATAACAGAGTCAATGATTTAGAATACACATATCCAGGTATGTGGTGGAAACAAATCAAATCCCTTTCGAGTCAAAATATAAAACAGGAATGGTACCACCAATTCTTTGGAGAGTCCGAAAATATTGAGTCCCTTGCACAGAAGATAAATGATTTCTTTATTGGTCTAACAACAGTGTATCATGCAAGAAAATCGGTCAAAACTCGCAAAGTTTTTCATGTTTAAAATTTTAGTTTTTCAAAAATAATGAATAATGACGACAGTGTTGCAAAGAACGATTTCACAGCAAGTTTTAAAAGCAACAAAGAAGACGTGTTTGAACGATCTACAACGAAAATTTGGCATGAAAGGAAAGTGAATGTAGTGACGTTTTGGGGTCAAGTACTTTTGTGAACCATGCGCAAGATTTTCAGCCAAAAAGATGAGGATTTCTCCAAACCCCATTAAAAATTGAAGTCGGAAATCACAAGAAAGTGAACACGGAACTCGAGCAGATACGATTTTTTAAAGGGTATTTTTGAGTAGAAATATGCGATCAAACACTCACAATATTCGACTGCATTAATGTTGGTTGAATCTAGTTTAAAGTTATCTTTTTAGACAAACTGTTTATGCAAATTTGGGCACAATTTCGGCTGTTTTCGTGACCCCATTGTTGGTCTTCTTGTTGAAGTTGTTATTTTAGCTAAAGTATGTTTCAAATGACACCAGATTAAATTACTGTGTGCGTATGTGCCCTATTTGGCAAGAATACTTCGAGTATTAAATTACGCTAAATAAGTAGGATATTCCAAAATCACTGTTATATTTATTTTCATCAACTTAGTCTTAAAATAACAACTGGTTTCAGACATATTGTGGTTTGAAATAAGTGTGTTGATTTAATGTGCTTGTTGCTGTCTGCGAATTCTCAAAAAATCTGCACTTGAGTTCTAATGCTTTTAAAATGCTTTTTGTATTGTGTTTTATATCCCCATAAAACTTTAAATCGATAAGGCAGATGGTAATGTTGATGCAACCTCATTTTCTAGTAACTACATGTTGAATCAGAAGTAAAAGTTATCAAAATAGGTTGCGACCGTTGTTTTGCAAAATGTTGCTTCTCTCTGGAATGGCTTCCTTTGCGGGAAGCCATGAAACTGAAGTCCTAACAAAAACATAATTTAGCCGTCGTTTTGGGCCCATTGCTCGCTTATTTATCATGAAATCACTTCACTAGAACTTATCATGAAATAGCTTCACTAGAACTATTTTCTATGAACTAAAGTTTATCGCTTTAAGGTGTTTATTTTATAAAACAGCATGCGTGACAAAATGGCACTGTGGTTACTCACATCTGACAAACAACCAAAGATGAAAGTTCTTATTTCACCCTTTTATAGATATGTGGAATACCTGAATATTAGGTTATCTTTTTCATGTGAGGATATAGATAACATTTCTACACAATAGTCCTTATGAAGGCTTATTTTAAACTAAACAAAACCTGATTGTTTTTCAGAGCCAGATTTCAAAAGAGAACGCATGTCCGACATTTTATATAGCAGGCCTACATTGGTGCACAAAATAATTTTGGCTAAAAACCATTGCTTTTCCAAGAAAAACACAAGAAAATTGAGCTAATAGTCTTACCTGATGTATGTTTAAAATGTTTTTCTTTTTATGGTGTTTTTCAGTGCTTTCAGTAGAGAGGTTAATAGCTTTTGGCTTTGTCACCACAATTTGCCTTTGAAAATGTCGGCTGTCATTGTCTGTGTTAAAAACACCTCACCTTCCCGTCCTTGCTTTATATTGAAAATAAATAGATTCGATTACCATATGTCCTTTTAAATGTATTTGAAGTAATTGAAAACTTGAAAGATGTACAAGCACTCTGTTTTGGCTTGCACACTTTGTTGAATTTGAACACTTAGTTACTGTTCTAAATTTCATGTTGTAAACATCTTGCCCAAAAAAGCAGAGGAGTATATTTTATAATTTTTGATCATTTTCTTATTCATATCCCAACAGATGAAAATTGGTTATATGTACTGATTTAGTGAATATTTTTTTTTTGTTTTTATATAAATTTATGGAGATATTGCCCCTTTAGGTGATTAGTGACATGAAAAAGAGTGTCACTACTTTACAAATAAAAATTCTCATTGACAAAACTAATGAAATATATAGGTATGCAAGTTCATTTAAACTAAATTTGGTCAATTATATATCAATAATATTTGACCATATTTGGTTGAAAAGACCAGATTTGTTCATGCAACTGTTTCTGAGTTATTGCCATTTTGGTGAAAGGTCTTGAGTTCAATCATGTATTTGCCATATTGCTTGCGTGTTGGGAGGTAGAAACATTGTAACAGCTTGCACGTTAATGAGTTATAAGATTTATGTAACAATGATCCACCCGATTTTGGAATATGCTGTTCCTGTTTGGCAATCGATCCCAGAACATCTGTCAGAAAATAGAATCTATTCAGAGAAGAGCCTTAAGGATAATTTTTCCAGAAGCTGATTCGTACAATCTCTAAACTAGATACATTATTTAATAAAGGGTTTCTGTATGTAAAGCATATATGCATAAAATGAAGTGTACTACTCATCCACTACATTTTTTACTGCCCAGCCTAATCGAAGTCCCCGATCACGAATGTTTTTTAAGACAAATGCGGGACGTTTTATATAGAGACAAGAAGTTTTGTAAAACTAAAAGAAGAACTGAAGACTTTTTACCTTTAAATATTTGTAGTTATAAACCTTATCGTAGATCTACCATAATAGGCCTATGTAAATAACTCAGTAATTTAGCTGTCTGTAACTGAAAAGCCACCTTGTAAACCCCATCCTGTAAACAACCTACGGAGCAACTTAAACACTGAAGTGAGTTCGATGTACTCTGTCACGAAAGAGGACTTTTCTATATCAAGACACTACACGATTCCTGGAGCAGAAATGTGAACACTGAAACCTGAACCTGAAATACACAAAATATAAAGTAATACAGCAGGACAAAGTGTGAGATTGGTCATATGTATCTATGCAAGTAAAGTGATTTGTCCTCTGATGTTGTACCATTCACTGGAGAACAAGGTATGATCGAACATTTTTCAGTTATTTTCTGTTTTTTTTTGTTACTTTTCGTCTAAAATATGGCCATATTAAGACCAAATTTGAGGGCAGAATCCGCTACCCAGAATGCTGGAAATGGCATTTCCCGGGGTTCAAAGTTCAAAAATGTTGTGAGTATTAGTACAATGATACAGTCAGATTTGAGGCTGGATCCGCCCCCTGATCTTCTCTTTAATTTGCCCCACTTTTGCTCCGCTTTATGGGTGGCAAACTGTCTTCTTTCTGGCAACTCTTTCTAGCTTCTTGTAGTTGATATTTTTGACCATTGAGTCTCCTATTAGAAGAACATTTCTTTCTTGAATCGTATTCTAAGTGGTTTTCTTTTTGGCTTCATCAGATTTTTTATGATTATTTTTTTCAAGTTTTGAAATTTAGATCCTTTTTTCTTTCGGTAATTGGAGATTTGATTATCAACATTTGAGGTGTCACCATGGACAAGGTCTTCTAAATGAAGAGCTTGATAGTGGTTTGGATTTTCAACTGAACTTTTGTTGGCTTTGGACTGTTCGATTACTAATATCATACAAAGAATCGAATTTCTCATTGTTTTGAGATAATGATAAGCTGCTGTTTGCTTGAAATGGATCAAATTTGAATTGACTTAGTCTATCCATATAATTTTTACGATTTACGCAGCTTTGCTGTGTAAGTGGCATAAATTCATTGTCTGAAAGTGAATGAAATGGTATGGAATCGTAATCGTTGTTTCTAGAATTTTTAGTTAAGAATGTGTTATGCATTATACAAAGCAATTCAAAATGGAAGGAATTTACTTGTATACCAAATAATAACCTATTGTAATATGACTCCAGTAATAATGACTTATTTTGGTAGATAGAAAAGCTGACCATCAATATAAAGTTTATCTCGCACAAGTTTTACCTTGAGCCCCTCGCTTTCTTGAATTCTGGTAAAAGTTTTCTTCTAGTATCCATGATATCTGTGGAGAATTGTTCCGAGATTCCAATGTAAAAATAAAATTTTGCCATGATCGGTCGTGGTTTCTCTGTTTCAAGTCTAGGTTTACCTAGCCTATGATATTTATTAATCTTTACTTTTGTTGCTGTATCTTTGATGTTGAGTTTGTTTCTTGCAGTAGTTGATGGATAATCACTAAAATATTTTCTTCAGGACTTTCTTTGATATTGTGGAATATAAGATTATCATTCATTGAGCATGCTTTCAGATCAATAATGCTATTGTGTAAAATGGCGTTATCGTTTTCAAGCCTTTCGACTCTTTTCTTTGTAGCTTTTCACTTTTCTTCAGCGCCTCACTGTCTTTCCTTAAGTCTTTAACCTCTGTGTCTGCATATTCCAATGAAGCTTTAATTGATTTAAAATCGTCGTCTAGAGGCTTGACATTCTTTTCTATAGTTTCGAATTTTTCTAGCTTGGACATCATTATCTTCATCAATTCATAAAAATTGTTTAAATCTACTGGTTTAGTTCCTTCTCCATCTGTTTCTTTCCTATTGCTATTAGGTTTCTGAATTTTTTATTTAGTTGGTTTATTGGGTATGTTATTCAACAAATTATTAAAATGTTGTGCACTGTGCTTCAAAGCCTGATCCTTCTACCCAAATGGATAATGACATCAAGCTGGGGGGACTAGATCCTGTTTCCAAATAACTTATTCTATGCTGTTGTAATAAAAACTATTTATTTATATGCACATTTAATTTTTAAAATTACATTTCATTCTTTGTTAAAATGTGTACCGGGAATGATAAAATCTTTCAGATAAGCTAACAATACTTTTATAACTTATATAGCCAAGTGTTCTATCTATTTCTATTCAGATTAAACAAATGGATGGGTAAAATATTAGATTTTTTCAAATTTTAACATAATCTTAGCATCATGTTGAGAATTGTCCTTGAAACAGTGAATAATTAATTACTGCTTCAGTTAATGGCTATATTAGACTATATTATAAAACAATTTTTTGAGTCAAAGTATGCACGTGCGAAGACATACAGATTTTGCTCATTGATCCCAACATCGGATCGTAGGGAATTGATAAGGTCGACCCGGTTTCTAATTCTGGAGTCAGAATTATGGGCACTTTCCGTCCCCTTTTTCCTCGAGTTTCAACCATGTCCAGCCTATAAAGAGGCAAGAATCATATTAGGACATATTATAGTGAGATTTTTCTGATATCATTCACAGCACACATTAATTGGAACATTATAGTTATATTGAACCATGGATAATAAAATAAATGGATAGGAAACTAGCTGACGTGACCTAATGTTTTCAATGAGCTGATGGCGTGGTTGGATGTCTCAACCTAGTTGAAAACCAAATTCTCAAAAACGGCATGTTTAACAATAATACAGCTAAACAATTTAGTTAAAGAGCAAATAAATATAACCACGCCATTCTACGATGAAAACTCTAAGTATTCCCAGTCAATTTTAGCAAATATTTCAAGCACTGAACAGTGAAAAATACATCAATTTCGTAGCTACAAATGTAAAAAAATACAAAACAAAGACGAAAAACATTCACCTTGAATACTTTGTCGTGGCTTAGGCATGTTTTTAAAACAATTGACCAGTTTATGTTTCAATATCACCCTTTTAAAGTGGAAAATATAACAAAACAACAAAAATTCCGAGAACTTTGGTAATATTCGCAATATGTGTGACGTCACGTTTTTCAACAAGGTTGCGGCCAATGATGTCAGAAGTTTCCTATCCAGTTATTTTACAATCCATGATTGAACTTAAACTATTTTGAAGACAATCTTTCTAAACCCTTTATTTAACAATGTTTTGATAAATATAGATTGGTTGGGTACTTCTAATGTAGAATAAACAAAAAAATTTCGTAAAGGTCAATTTTCCAGAGCAGGGGGGTGTCTTTTTTAGCAGCATTACAAATGGCTAGCATGTGCAATTTAAAAGTTCAAAAGGCATTTTGATTTCATGGGCAAGAAATTTGTTATATGTTTTATTAATGGTCAAAATATCACTAAATTTGCTCAATTTTAAGTCCTTTAAATAGGCGATGAAACTTTTGTCAACTCATTGGCACCTACATAACTTGCATATTGTATTTTACTTTTCACAATAACAATATGGAAATTATGTAAATGCATTAATTTTATAAAGCATGAAGGCATGTGCTCAGTGATTTCATAGTTCAATCCCTGGCCTTAATTTTAGAGTTTGGCTTTTTTGGTATATTTTGGACATGCGTTTGACACATGTGACGAACAAGGACTTCATTTTTGCATAAACCTAGACCAAGATAATTAATAACTTCATAGAGTTTCCAAACTAAGTATTCTAGTAACTATTGTTTCAGTAAAATGTATAATTTTTATGATGTTTATATCATTCATATATAGATTAACTTACTGCTCAGACTGGCCAGAATTTCCGAGCTGGCTGATTGACTCCAGACAGGTTTTCCTTTGTACTCCTGCAAAAGCAGCCTGGATGCTTCGCCACCTCTCCTCTTATTGAGCAAGATCCATCTTCGCTTTGTTGGACTTTTCCACTTTAGATTCTCGGATTTCTCGCCAATGCTTCTATCCACAAAGGACCTAAGGTTGGCAATATCTTCAGCCAGGGGTGGCACATTAACTTTATTGAACCTCTGTTCATGTAGGGTGGTTAATGAATGGTGGGACACCTGATATTCCCATTCTGATGCCATTAATGTCTTGAAATTCTTTGCGTCTTTTCTGATTGACTCATCTTTTATACACAACCCATGTGCAACCATACATGTAGCATTTCGACAAGGAGTACCCCAACTTCAATGC